GGTGATTCCATTATAAGAGGTGTGGAGATGGACAATGGTGGTCTTGTGAGGTGTCTTCCCGGAGCTACTGCTCACAGAGACAGGAGACGTATCTGTAATATTGTTAAGCAAGCAAAGCAGGAAGGGGAATTGGATGTACTTGTCCATCTAGGGACAAATGACTTGGCTTGCAATGAGGTTTCAGAGGTTAAGGAAGTTTTTAGTGTTTTTGCCAATGATATACGGCAGGTTGCTTCCACACTGTCATTCTCTGAAGTTCTGCCTGTGCATAACACTCAGAACGACAGGCGGATGCGTATTAGGGACTTTAATTTGTGGCTTGGTGAATGGTGTCGGGAGCAAGGATTTGGCTTTATTTCTCATGGTAGCTCTGTTTGGAATGGAAATAAGCTGTACAAAAAAGATGGTTTGCATCTTTCTCAAAAGGGAACAAATGTTCTCAGTGAGCAGTTCAGAGGTTTTGCTAGGATGTATTTAAACTAGGAGGGGGGGGCAAAAGGGTGATAAAACATCAATCCAATTGTCCCCAAAACAAGGACAGAAGGTGCCTGTAGCAAGTGTGTTAAAAAATTATAAGCTTAGAGTCATGTCTACAAATGCTCGCAGTTTAGAGAATAAGATCCATGAACTTGTGGCAATAATGGCAACTGATAGTGTAGATTTAGTCGCTGTTACTGAGACATGGTACAATGAGAAAAATGACTGGGACATAGCAATACCAGGGTACTCTTTATATAGGGAAGATAGGGAAGGCAAGAAAGGGGGAGGGGTGGCCTTGTATGTGAAGGATAGCATAAAATCTAGCCTAATAAAAGTTAGTGAGGCAAACATAGAGTCCGTTTGGGCTACGCTAGAATTTGGTAATCACACAGTAACTCGTGTAGGTGTGATTTATAGGCCCCCAGGACAAATTGAAGAGTTAGATAATCTACTAGTTGAGGAAATAGCTAAAATGACAATGAAGGGGAAGTTATCATCATGGGTGACTTTAATCTTCCTGATGTAAATTGGAAAACAAAATTAGCTACTTGTGCCAGGAGCACACATATTCTAAACTCCCTACTGGGATTGTCTCTAAAACAAGTTGTTGAGGAGCCAACTCGTAAAGAGGCCATACTAGATTTAGTGTTAACAAATGGAGATTTGGTATCAGATATTACTGTAGGTGAAAGTTTAGGATCCAGTGATCATCAGTCAGTGTGGTTTAATATAAGAACAGTGACTGAGTCACACCACACAAAAACAAAAGTTTTAGACTTTAGAAAAACAGACTTTTCTAAAATTAGAATATGGGTAGAGGAGTCATTATCAGACTGGAGCAATTTAAATGGAGTCCAAGAGAAATGGGATTATTTAAAAGTTGCACTATTGAAGGCAACAGAAAATTGCATTAGGCTTGTCAGTAAAAGCAAAAATTCAAGAAACCACTGTGGTACTCCGCAGATGTGGCCAAAATAGTTAAAAACAAAAAGTTAGCATTTAGGAATTATAAAAAAATCCAGAGTGAGGGAGACAAAATGATCTATAAGATTAGGCAGAAAGAGGCTAAGCAAGTTATAAGAGCTTCCAAATCACACACAGAAGAGAAAATAGCACAGTCAGTAAAAAAGGGGGATAAAACATTTTTTAGATACATAAATGAGAAAAGAAAAGTAAAACAAGGATTAGTTAGATTAAAACAAAAGAAGGAAGGTATGTAGAAGAGGATAAAGGTCAGGCTGACTGCCTCAATGAATATTTTTGTTCTGTATTTACAGAAGAAAATGAAGGAAAGGGACCTCAGTTGAGAAAAAGGATAAATGAGTCATTTATTACACGTGAGTTTACAGAGGAAGAGGTTCTATTTCAACTGTCAAAAGTAAAGACAAATAAGTCAATGGGACCTGATGGAATACACCCAAAGCTATTAAAAGAGCTTAGTGGTGTACTAGCAAAACCATTAACAGATTTATTTAACCAATCATTGTTAACAGGAGTAGTCCCAGAAGATTGGAAGTTAGCGAATGTTGTGCCCATTTACAAGAAAGGTAATAGGGAGGAGTCGGGCAACTATAGGCCAGTAAGCCTTACTTCAGTAGTGGGGAAAGTGATGGAAACCATGTTAAAGGATAGGATTGATGAACATCTAAAACACATGGATTTCAAGATCAGAGACAACATGGGTTTACTTCAGGGAGATCATGCCAAACTAATCTTATTGATTTTTTGATTGGGTAACTAAAATAATAGATCAGGGTGGTGCAGTAGACATTGCTTACCTAGATTTCAGTAAGGCTTTTGACACTGTTGCACATAGAAGGCTTATCAATAAACTGCAATCTTTAAGTTTGGATTCAAATATTGCTGAATGGGTAAGGCAGTGGCTGAGTAACAGGCAACAGAGGGTTGTAGTTAATGGAATATATTTGAAGCTTGGACTTGTCACCAGTGGGGTACCTCAGGGATTTGTACTTGGACCCATTCTCTTTAATATTTTTATTAGTGATATTGCAGAAGGTCTTGATGGTAAGGTATGTCTTTTTGCTGATGATACTAAGATATGTAACAGGGTTGATGTTCCAGGAGGGATAAGCCAAATGACAAATGATTTAGGTAAATTAGAAAAATGGTCAGAATTGTGGCAACTGACATTTAATGTGGATAAGTGCAAGATAATGCATCTTGGATGTAAAACCCAAGGGCAGAGTACAGAATATTTGATAGAGTCCTAACCTCAACATCTGAGGAAAGGGATTTAGGGGTGATTATTTCTGATGACTTAAAGGTAGGCAGACAATGTAATAGAGCAGCAGGAAATGCCAGCAGAATGCTTGGTTGTATAGGGAGAGGCATTAGCAGTAGAAAGAGGGAAGTGCTCATGCCATTGTACAGAACACTGGTGAGACCTCACTTGGAGTATTGTACACAGTACTGGAGACCGATCTTCAGAAGGATATTGATACCTTAGAGAGGGTTCAGAGAAGGGCTACTAAACTGGTTCATGGATTGCGGGATAAAACTTACCAGGAAAGGTTAAAGGATCTTAACATGTATAGCTTGGAGGAAAGACGAGACGGGGGGACATGATAGAAACATTTAAATATATAAAGGAATCAACACAGTAAAGGAGGAGACTATATTTAAAAGAAGAAAAACTACCACAACAAGAGGACATAGTCTTAAATTAGAGGGACAAAGGTTTAAAAATAATATCAGGAAGTATTACTTTACTGAGAGGGTAGTGGATGCATGGAATAGCCTTCCAGCTGAAGTGGTAGAGGTTAACACAGTAAAGGAGTTTAAGCATGCATGGGATAGGCATAAGGCTATCCTAACTATAAGATAAGGCTAGGGACTAATGAAAGTTTTTAGAAAATTGGGCAGACTAGATGGGCCGAATGGTTCTTATCTGCCGTCACATTCTATGTTTCTATGTTTCTATTAATGACAATGATATGTAATTAGTTTTTACCGTACAGTTGGATTGTAAGGAAATCAATTTCTTAGATCTTAAAATTTTTGTTGAAAATTTGGAAATAAAAACTTAAACATTTTTTAAAGCAACAGACATATAGAATAAATGTATAGATACGAAAAGCAGTCATCATACAAAGATGCAACAATGATTGAACATTTGCACATGCACGCTCAGCGGAATTATAATGAACTTCCTGTTAGCAGTGGAACGCATGTGAACCGCACAAGAGTTGCACATGCGCTCTCAGCGGTATTGGAAATTTACAATAGATGAGACTGAACGATGGACACTACGGATTGGCTGGTGGCTATCCAGGGTGCTGCTAAAGGACCTTTTTAAGATGGACGCAGTTAGAAAAAAATATACAGATGCTGGGAACCCCTGACGAAGTCCGAGGACAGACGAAATGCGTAGGGCGGAGAGACTGGTGACATTAATTGTTTTTATTTCTATTTCATTTTATTGGCATATCCATTTTATTGACTTCTGGAGAATTGTTTTACATTCCCCTGGATAGAGAGGAGTTGGATTGTGATGGGCTTTTTTTCACTTTTATTTTGTGATTGTAACTTTAATAAAGTTTAATTTGGATTTTTATACAAGAGTACACTATGTTTTCTGTCTCTCCTCTTTTATCCTATATGTGTTCCTGGACATAAGGTGAAAGAGAAGAAAAGGAGGGTACGTCTCCATATATTACGTTTTGCCTTTATACCATCTGAGTTTGATAAATAAGCCCTTTTTTTTTTTTTTTTTATTCTTTATTTTGTTATGCAAAAAAGATCACAAATTGGCTTGCACTGCTACAACAGCATGTGTGAGCCCAAGATTGGTATACATTTGAAAACAAGCACATAGCAGGTGAGGAACATTGCACATTTTTTTTTTTTTGTAAATATAAACATAGCTAGGTAGCGGAGCATGCATGGACATCAATGTAAGTATTGGTATTGATTGCCAGAGGTGTGCGGGCGGAGTACTGTTATAGTGTAAGTAGAGAACCAAGCGGGTCTAGTTTTGGATGTCCTGTTAGACCTCTATTGAGAGACCGTGGGTCCTAAGCTTTGTCTGCTCCTTGTCGTGTTAATTTGAGTATTTTATTGGGGCCCTATGAGTTTCATCCCTGTAGTTTACTTGCCCCATAGGGTATTTGTTAGTCACCTTGTGTGGACCTTGAGCTATAACCAAAGAGAAATTGTTAAGAAGTCACCTATCTGCAGGTAACTTTGTTCCCTACCGGGTGCTGGTGGATAAGTTCGTATAGTGGTTCCCTTGCGGGGGTATGGTAGGGGAGGTATGTGTGGGCCGATTGGGAGATACTAGGTCTGAGGGTTATGAGCGGATTAGTACTCGAGTGTTTTCAAGGTAGTGTGATAACTAGTCGGTGAGGACGTGGCGACAGTTACTGGTGAAACAGTGCCATGCAGTGACGGTAGTGCATTTAAGAAACTTAAACCATTAAAATAAAACAAGAAGAAAACATTAATGCTGAGGAACGAGAGAAAGTTATCATAGAAGCCTGGCGGGCAACAAACAGTCCGGCACAGCAGTTGGACATCCATGCGGGCATACCATCTCTGGCTCGGTCTTCTCGTTGGCGTTCAGGTCGGCATCGCGTTCAGGGTCGGTCTTGGAGTAAAGACCGCAATGTTTGCAGGGTTGATGTGGAGCAGAGTCCCGCTTGCCCCATTCGGGGTGGTGGTAAGACTAAGAGAACGCAGGTGCGCTTCTAATTCTTGTAGGCTCCGTGCCTTGTAGGTAGTCCCTCCATGGGTGAAGAGCAGTGCTCGCGGGGTGCCCCATCGGTATGGGATGTTTTTGGTGCGGAGCTGTTGAAGCTGCGGCTGCAGTGTTTTCCTCCAGGACAGGGTACTTTTTGTCACGTCTGGAAAGACTAGGAGCATGGCCCCTTCAAAGGTTAAGGGGGTTTTCCCTTTTATTGCGGCTGAGAAGGTGTTCTTGTCCTGGAGGTTTTGGAAGCGGAGGATGAGGTCCGCCGGTGTTGCTTGTGGTACCTGTGCAGGCTTGGGAAGCCGAAACATCCCGTCTAGCTTTAGAGCCTTGGCCAGTTTGGGCAACATCAAAGCTTCAAACAGGCGTCTGATGAAGTGGGGTAAGTCCTTGAGGCCTACGGTCTCCGGTATGCCTCTAACTTTTAAATTGTATCGTCGTCTTTGGTCTTCGAGTGAGTTTACTCGGTTTTCAGCAGCTAGTTGCCTGTCTTGTAGGTCTGCCAGTGATTGCTCCACCATCGTGATTCGGGCGTCATGGACATTGGAGGTGGCTTCGAGTTGTGTGGCTTTGGCCTTGACGCCTTCTATGGCGGTGTTGTAGTGGGCCCTGTCCACGGCCAGGTCTTTTCGCAGGTCCGCAAACATGGCTTTAAGCAGGTCCGCCGTCACCGGTTCCCCGGCTTGCAGGGTCTTATCTGCTCTTTTCAGCGGTGGGTCATAGGAGGCTCCCTCCTCGAGATCTATGGAGGCCTCGTCGGATGAGCACGAGAACTCATCCCTGAGCGCCAACTTGGCCCATGCGGCCTGCTGTGAGTTCCGTAGCAGTTCCCCAATATCTTTGCTGATCGGGCACTTGTCGGCTTGGGGCTTTTTAGTTTTTCTGCCCATCATCTGCCTTTGCGTTGCGTGTATGATATGGGGTCAGTTTTGGCTGAAAAAGCCTGTTTTAACACGGTTTCAGCAGAATAGGGCTCGGAGCTCAGAGAGTTGCGTCCGCTCTGGTCCTCAGTTAGCTCCTCAAATAAGCCCTTTTTGATGTCAGTGTTCACTACACTATTGGCTTTGTTTGTATTTTTTTTGCAGGTTATTTATCTTTATACAGAAAAGTTATATAACTGTCAGCAGAACTCATCAACTAATCTCCTACCTCACAGGAGATTAAAGAGTTCCTGAGTGTTGCTAGCGTGACTTAAAGATGAATGTTAATTTTAATTAATAGGTAAAAACATTAATATTTTTTATAGTTCGTGGTATTATGGTCAAATATGTGGATACAAATTACACAAAGCGTTGTAATATTAAAGGTATATTTAATATGATTAGAATAACAAGTAAACAGATGCTAGCAGAATGTCAATTTACTACAATAATTATACAATATAAATCTACATCATATTTACAAAAGGCTAAAATAGTTGCTAAATGTTACAATGGAATCACATGGTACAATACAAAACATGAACAAACTTACACAGGCCCCAGCCTCTGGGGCTAAACAGTCGGCTGCTATATTTTTAGGCAGTCAAGGGCAGAGCAAAAAAAAAGAAAGCTTGAATCCCTCCTACGTCTGGTTTTTATTCCGAGTGTATTCTTAAGTGATGTCACTGCCAGAGGCACATGGCTTAAGGATTCCTACACATTGCCCCTAGTGGTGCCTCTTAAGCTTCAAACTGATTATGCTTTATTTTATGACTTAAGTAATTATATTAATACCATTACACTGAGGTGGATGGAAGTACAAGCACAAGCACTGGACATTGTGAGGCTTGCCGCCACAGAGTGTGTGTGGGAGCGGACAGCAGCATCAAACACTGACTGACCATCTTTAGTGCCCCTTACAGGCATCACAGCGGCCTCAGATGCAGAAGGCAGTGCTGGGTTGTCCCCAAGAGGTCAGCAGAACAGTTTCCAGCAGCAGAGGAGGTGTTGTCAGTGCCACAGGGTACCAAAGTAGGTTATCAATCATTCTTAACTGGTTTGTCTGATTACTCTAGGAGGGTCCCAGAGAACACCTGGCACCATAACTACTATAGTAGGCTGCAGTGTTTACATTGCTTGGAGTGTTAATTTATTGTGGACAGAATGGTCTGTCTTGCACCGTTGGTGACAGGTGACTTGTGCTTATTGCCTATAGATTTTGCAGAGAAACGTAGCATGGAAGATGGTCATGGAGCAGAAAAGCTATAATCACTTATTGAGAGAAAGAGTTATGGTCACCAGCAAAGATGCTTGATCATCACCATAGCCATCTACCTTATTCCATCAGCTAAAGAGGATCTTTGAGGAAGTGGTCATCATGCTACACAGAATAGCTACATCATTAGCAGCAGAGCTAATAACATTTGCAGCCACCCTGCAGAAGAAGTGAGAACAGAATCTGAAACAGCAGAAACACTTTTAGTGTGGCAATTAGGAAGATAACCAATAGAAGAGTGTTTAGCCCTGCAATGCAAACATTACATAGTTACATAGTTACATAGCTGAAAAGAGACTTGCGTCCATCAAGTTCAGCCTTCCTGACATTTGTTTTTGCTGTTGATCCAAAAGAAGGCAAAAAACCTAGTCTACAGCACCCACTATTAGGGAATGGATCCGCAAAGTGGTCTCAATCCCAATCATGAAAGAACTTTGCTTCTCCATCTCCCACAAATGCTGCCTCTACAAAAAGAAATAGGACTCATGGTTGAACTTCGTACAGAAAGAAGCCAGGTCCTAAACCTCCTCTCCTCTTCCTTTCCCTCTCCTTACTACACTCCTGCCTACGACTTACCCTTCAGAGATAACAGAGTGTCAGAGCTAACTCTTCAGCTAGTTAGTTAGTTGCTGTAAGACTAACAAAAGGCAATTTTAGAACCTCTTGTTTTCTGACAATATTTTGAAGTATCTCCTATAGTTCTCCTATAATTTTTCTTAACATACATATAGATAAGTTATCTTGGTACCTACACATTCGTCGAAACGACAACATACATCTACAGTATTTAGTCACATCTATTGACACACGATAACGTAACTTATATACAAATAAAGTGGACCTTTTAAAGTCCACGGATACACCAAATGGGTACAAACTTTTAACACTCAGCACTGATTGCTATTTATATGCATCTTTTCTAATCTGATGTTTTATACTTGTTTCATCCTACAATATAACAAGGCGGATGTATTTTTTTTTTCTTGTACCTGCATTTCTTTACTTTAATAAAGTATTTAAAAAAAAAAAAAAAAACATATTGCGAAAGCTACCCAGGAGTTTTTTAAGGCAAAGAAGTGAAATATTTTGCAAGGTCAATCAACTGATCTCAACCAGATCAAGCAAGCATTTCACTTGCTGAAGACAAAACTTGAGGCAGAAAGACCCACAAACAAACAGAAGAAGACAGCTGCAGTAAAGGCCTGGCAAAACATCACAAAGGAGGAAACCCCGCGTTTGGTGATGTCCATGCGTTCCATTGTCTGCAAAGGATTCTCAACAAGGAATTAAAAATTATCATTTTATTTATGATTGTGTTAATTTTTCTTATTACATATGAGCCCCTGAAATAAGTGGACTGTGTATAAAAATGGGTGTAACTCTTTTTTTTTTTGTAAATATGTTTTTATTTCGGTTTACATTGTCGATAATAAGTCACATTGAGACTCGCAGGTCTCCGTAGGCCTTTAGGGCACAATAACCAAAGTACAACATGTGCATAGCGTTTTTATGTCGGCCAATCGGGCGCGCAGGCCCACAATTGCGGTGGACTCGCAGGTCCCTTACAGCATGCAGTTCTTGTCCCTAGACTGTTGTATTGTTTGTATTCAGTTGCTCCGTTTGTTAAGTAACATTAGGCTAACTTCAGTGTGGACTCGCGGGTCCACTTAGGGTAGAAAATGGTTGTAACTCTTTGATTTAAAGCTGAAAGTCTGCACATACACATATTTCCAGACCTAACTGTATTTATTTTTGTGTAATGTGGAATTTATATATTTGTAATTTAACATAATGAGAACATGGCTTGCAAAATTGCTGAGCCTCTAAAAGCCATATCTGAACCTTGTCTTTCTATTCCTACAACAAATGCAGGAATTTAGAGGGAAGACCAATGTAACCAAGAACAACTGTCCAAATGTCTATGACTTGCAAGTGAGGGGAGACCTTGTCTGGCAACAGTATCCTCTGTGAAGGAATAACTTATTCAGATGAAAATCCCATTCTTGTTTTACACTACTTATAATAGACTACTTTGATTCAAGCTTTGAAATTAAAGAGGGTATCTCTATGTAGTGGAGACTAATGATAAAATAAATATTTATCTTGTGGGAAAAGTATAATGTGCTTAACCAAGATGTGGCTGAATTTTGGATTGATGAAAAGCCTTTAGTGAATAGCTACATGTCTCACTGGATTTGGTGTATTTCTGCTAGTAACATTCCCTATAATATGACTGCAACAGTATAATCTGCTGGTCTGCACATGTAAGTACTGTTTTTATACTATCACAGGGCTAGTACATTTTGGGTTACATTTTATAAAAGAGCATTTTATAATAAATCATGTTTGCAATGAATCATTCACTGTTAAAAGCACACTATAGTGAAATGAATTTAAACATGTATTCCTGTCACTATAGCTGTCATATAACTACCATATTTAGCTGCCCGGCCCACCTGTCACCAATGTAAAAGGTGAGTTTACTCACCTTTACTCCAGCGCCGTGTGGGTCCCCCGGCACTTGCTCGGCCTCCGATTTGCATCCTTGGCTGAGATCATCAAAATTGATGATCTCAGTCAATCCAATGCATTCCATAGGAAACAACTACATGAAGCTGTAGTTGTTCTGGTGACTATAGTGTCCCTTTAAGCCTACCAAGCTTTGACCTGGTTTAGAATGACTGAAATTGGGTTAATGGGTCAGCAGGCTAATTGAGTACCAGGATAATTTATTGCCAAGTTAATAGTTCAGGAGGTTTATAGGACACTAGATATTGGGGAGCAGATTAATGGATCAGTAGATGAATGGGGTGCCTGGTTAATATGGTGCCAGGCTAA